TGGACTGTTAATTTCTGCTAGAGAATTGGCTATGGATTTCAATTTTTTCACATAGGATTCGATGGGCTGAAAATCCTCTCTTCTGGTTTCGTGAAATTGAATTTGCAGTTGGGCTCGCCGGATTTGATCATCTTCAACTGAATTTGTGGAACTATTATTAGATTCATCTTTTCGAAAACTCATGCCTTCGTGCTTGTACACCATGAAACAAGCGTCTCCAAAAGTGGGAAGAGGCCACTTTGATGATATTGTGTTTTTGAGGGGCAAGTATTGAATAGGCAAACCAGCAAGAAGTTGCAACACCATGTTTGAATTTGAGATCTCATCGCCGATTTCTGCTAGGGAATCGGCGATGGACCTCAATCTTTTCACATAGGATTCGATTGTTTCGACATCCCCTTTTCTGGTACTGTGAAATTGAATTTTAAGTTGAACTTGCCTGATCTGATCATCGTCAACTGAATTCGTGGAATTATCAGATTCTTCATTTGGAAAATTCATTCTTAACTGACTGAAATCTGCTTCTATCTCTCTGGTTTTTTTTTTATTCTCTGAGTAGACTTCCACCCTTCAAAATATGAACCCTGTTTGAATTAGTGTGTAATGGCTCGTTTGATACTAATGATAAGAAATAATTAATTTTGAAATTAATTTTAAGATGAGTTTATCTCGTTTTTTTATGTTGATAAGATGATTAGATTAGTTAATAATGTTATTTTTATTCCACATAGAGAAGGAAATAATGATTTTGAATAATTAATCTCAAAACAGCTTGTTCCTCAGTCAAACAAACTCTTACTGTTTAAAATTTTGATGTTAATTCAAATATAAACCAGTCTTCAAAAAACATCTTTCACTTTGAAATTAGGTGTTGAATCTTTAATTTTTTTAATGTGATTTTATGTTGAATTCTTTAGTATTTTTTAAGATAAAATATTCATATTTATATTATATATACAACATATGTTTCATAAAAAATGATATTTTAAAAATTATTTTAACAAATTGTGATCAAAGAAAATACTGTTTGCCTATTTTATATGATACTATAATTTATTTTTAAAAAAATAACTCATTTTTTATATAATAATAAATAGCATAACTTCAAAAATTTATCTATTACCTTAATAAATAAAATGATTTATATCTATATAAATATCTAAAATTTCTTTAAACTATAAATTTTAAAAAATCTTTTTTTATTTCATTTTTAAATTTTGTACAGAATTAAATAGTGCTATTTATATTGAGATAGCAATATTTAAAGTATTTATCACGAGTTTTTAAAGTATTTATTCATTTCTTAAATTCCTTATCAATTCAAATAGTATGACATAAATTAAGAAAAGAGAATAATACATATTTGAATTAGCTTACTTGTGAAGTAAGTCATATTGATTCGATAGAAAATGACCTGACTAGGTCTTTAGGTCTGAGGAAATATGAAAGCTATAATGCAACAGACATATTTTTGTCTTTTTCATCGATCTACTTTTCATATTGGATCGTAAATTCCACGCAAATTCTATAATTTAGTAACAATAAAGTGTTGCAGGTAATAAAAAGTTTATTAATTCACGATGGGACCCAGACTGCCTTACACATTATTGGATCCGTTCAATTTCCTAAAGCAATTTTTTTTTACTTTGATCATGTTTGATACGCTAAGAAAATAATTTAATTAATTTTTGTGTTTGATATATATGTAAAAGAAATTTTAAGATAAAATATTCACATTTATATATTATTTATACAAAATATTACATAAAAAACTGATATTTTAATAAATTGTGATATAAGAAAATACTGTTTGCCTATTTTAATAGTAACAGATATAGATTGTAACCAAAAAAGAAAAAAATCATTTCGCATTATAGATTATAATCTCATAATTAAGTTGGGGTTTAGCCATAGATTCCTCCTTCCTCTGTCGTTTACTTGCCATCAGAGATATGCACAGGTTAGTGCCACTTCACGTATCGAGAGAGAAATAAACTTTTATTTTAACTGAGAAATTTCACAAATAGCCATTAAAATTATTTTTATTAAATTCCATAGCTATAGTTTGCTAATTACGATTCGTAGCTATATGATAGAGGGAGAAGAGAGGCGAACGAGGTTGAAGAGGGAAGAGAGACGGCAAAGAGTGGAGAGAGGTGAATTGTATTTGCATATCTGTCAAATTGTATATGTATATATGTCAGATAATTGTATATATGTAACTGGTATACATATGTATTTGAATATCTGGTGAGCGCGATTGGGAGAAGGAGGAGAGAGGTGAGCGAGAGTGGGAGAAGGAAGGGAGATGCGAGCGAGATTGGGAGAAGGAGGAGAGAGGTGAGCGAGAGAGACGAATTGTATTCGTATATCTGTCATATAAATTGTATATGTATAATTTGTATTTGTATGTATAATAGAGCAGAAAGGCGAAAGAGGCATACATAATTATAGCTAAAAAAGACGACAAGTGATAATTAATTCAAACTATAATTATATTACTTATCTCCATAATTTTCCTATTTTAACCACATGATTTATCTATTAATTTTACCTTATATAATTCTTATCGTCAAATAACTCTTTAAAAATAACACTACAAAACTAATTAGTATTGGTTAAAGTAATTCAATTATATATGAAAAAAATTATAGGGAGAAATCGAGGGACTAGATAGCAACATTTTATTAGTATATTTGTACTTTACGATAAAAGATTTGAAGTAGTACGATGAGACAACATTATTGGTTACTTTTTATCTTTTAACAACTTTATTGGTGGGTGAAGTCAAGAAATGTACTATTCCGAATATCAACTTTCTTTACATGTTATTTTTTAATTTACATGATGCTTTTTTCTTTTCACGCGTTTTAAGGAAGATAATATTTTTTTCTATCTTAATTTATATGATATAGTTTATTTCAACAAAAATATTTTTATAAAATAATAAATAGCTTTAACTTCAAAATTTATCTATTACCTTAATAAAATGATTTATATCTATATAAATATCTAAAATTTATTTAAACAATAAATTTTAATTTATTTTTTCATTTTTCCTTTTTTACAGAATTAAATATTGCTATTTATATTGAGATAGCAATATTAAAAGTATTTATAACGAATTTTTAAAGTATTTATTTATTTCTTAAATTCCTTATCACTTTAAATAATATGACATAAATTTAAAAAGGAGAAGAATACGTATCTGAATTAGCTTACTCGTGAAGTAAGAGCCCGTTGGATTGACTTAACAAAAATAGCTTTTAAGTCAAAATTAAAAAGTCAAAATGAAATAATTTTTAAGTCAAAAAATAAAAAGTAGGGGGAGACCTACTTTTGATTTCTGACTTATTAGTTATTTCTGATTTATTTTAAGTCATTTTTTACCTTGCCAAACACTTCGTATATTATTTTAAGTCATTTTTGATTTATTTTAAGTTATTTTTTATATTTGTCAAACACTTTAAGAAATCAAAAACTGACTTAAAAGTAGGTTTGACCAACTTTTAAGTCAATCCAAACGGGCTCTAAGTTATATTGGTCGATAGAAAATGAAATACACATATTTTTGTCTTTTCCGTCGATCTACTTTTCATATTGGAACACAAATTTCACGCAAGTTCTATAGTTTAGTAACAATAAAGTGTTGCATATAATAAAAAAATTATTAATTCGCGATAGGACCCAAACTGTCTTACACATTATTGGCTCCGTACAATTTCCTAAAGCAAAAAAAATGTTACTTTGATCATGTTTGATAACGGTAAGAAAATAATTTAATTATTTTTTGTGTTTGCTATATATGTAAAAAATAGTATCTTAAATTTTATTTTATCTATAATTTAGATAAATATTATGAAAGATACGGATATTAAATGATCGAAACAGAGGCTCAAATAGGTAGATGTGAAAACAAGGTGGATTAAAGGATTGGAAAGACATAATCATATTTGGTTAGTTAAAATTTTTCTTAGTATATATATATACACACACATACATGGTTAAGGGGATTCGCTTGACAACCCCTTCGCTCAACGTGGGTCCGCCCCTATTAGGTTTAATTTTAGGACCAAAATGAACAATTTTTATTATTAAGTACGTATTATTTCAATCATGTAAAATATTGGGGAAAAACTCAAATATGTCATCGAAATTTGAGAAAAGGCTTATCTATGCCATTTTCATTTGAAAAAACCTTCATCCATGCCATTATTTGTTAACTGAAAATAGTTTCAATTTTTCAAACATAATTTTACACGTGGTCAATTATGATTCGGCTACATTATTAATTAAATCATTTTTAAAGGGAAAAGGCTTAAATATGTCATTGAATTTTGAGAAAAGGTTCATCTATTTCATCTATTAAAAGTTTGGTTCATCTATGCTATTACAAACAAATAGTGATATGAATGAATTTTTTCTCAAACAGAAAAGACATAGATGAGTCAAACTTTAGATTTGACATTGATAAGTTTTTTCTCAAAGTATCATATGACATATTTAAGTATTTTTCCTAAAAATATATTAAGAACCAAAACAAAACATTACCCCAAACCATTTTAATCATTTTCTCTTGATTTCAATGACAACATCAACACAATTATAGCTTTTCTCGACTTAAATTCCCTTCTCACCGGGATGTTTACATAAATGCATGTAAGTCGAAATTTGATGGATACATCAACCTAATGTGAATTTAAAAGTTGGTCAAACTTATTTTTAATGTATTTTTAGTTTTTGAAAGTGTTTGACAAAGTTAAAAATAACTTCAAATAAGCAGGACTTTCCTACTTTTTATTTTTTTACTTAAAAATTATTTAAAGTTTTTAACTTTTATTTTGACTTAAAACCTTCTATTTTTTTCCAGCTTATCCAAACGGGTTCTAAAACTATTATCTTCAACTAATCTGCGTCTATTACGGAGAGTAATTAATCCTTTACCAAAAAATATACCTTCATACCATACACACCTCAAAAGGGAAAAAAAAATCAAAATATTGAAAAAACACAAAGGAAAGTTTGTGTAGAACTTCAACTGCATATCATACATCTCAAGACAAACTTTAAATAGAAGCAGCAAATCAGGCTTTTGATTACACATACGAACATAACTATTAATTAAGTGACCGTACAAGAAATCAACCCGATTAATTACTTGCGTTGCAAAATTTTCCAGCCAGCCACGGCAGTTATTACACTACCTACAATTATCCTGGTTGCATTCACAGTACTAACTGCACCAACGACAGTACCCAATGCACCAACTCCAGCACAGATAGCACCTACTGCACCAACTGCACGAGCAACATCACCCACTGTATCCACTACAGCAAAGAACGTATCTGCGGTACAAAAACCAGACGATTGCTCTGCACCAGCATCAGCTTTGAATTTCTCCTCACGATCCTGAAATTAGATTAGCTCATGATTTGCTTCATTAAATCTTTAAAAATAATGTACATCACCTTAATTTTGAATATACTATGTAATTTTTTTCGAAGAGATTTGGATGAACCGTTTGCTCTCACCTTTAATAATATGTCCTCTTGCATGTAGACCATGGAGCAAGCGTCTTCAAAAGTGGGTAGAGGCCACTTTGATGGTATTGTGTTTTTGAGGGGCAAGTATTGATTAGGCAAACCAGCAAGAAGTTGCAACACCATGTCTGTATCTGATATTGGACTGTCGATTTCAGCTAGAGAATTGGCTATGGATTTCAATTTTTTCACATAGGATTCGACTGTTTCGAGATCCCCTTTTCTGGTTCTTTGAAATTGCATTTTCAGTTGAGCTCGCCTGAAAGTCATTCTTAACTCTTCTTCCATCTCTCTGGTTTTTTTTCTTATTCTCTGAGTAAACTTCCACCCTTTTAAATATGAACCCTTTAGTACTGTTTGAATTAGTGTGTTATGACTCGTTTGGTACTACTCATAAGGAATAACTAATTTTGAAATTAATCTTAACATGAGTTTATCTTTTTTATTTTGATAAGATCATTAGATTAGTTAATAGTGTTATTTTTATTCCACATAGAGAAGGAAATAATAATTTTGAATAATTAATCTCAAAACAACTTGTTCCTCGATCAAATAAACTCTTACTGTTTAAAATTTTGATGTTAATTCAAATATAAACCAATCTTCAAAAAACATCTTTCACTTTGAATTTAGGTGTTAGAATCTTTATTTTTTTAACGTGATTTTAGATGTTGAATTCTTTAGTATTTTTTAAGACCAAATTTTCATATTTATATTATATATTATATACAACATATGTTTCATAAAAAAAATGATATTTTAAAAAGTATTTTAACAAATTGTGATAAAAGAAAATACTGTATGCATATTTTATATGATACTATAATTTTTTTTTAAAAAAACACATTTTTATATAATAATAATAAATAGCATAACTTCAAAATTTATCTATTATCTTAATAAATAAAATTATTTATATATCTAAAATTTATTTAAACTATAAATTTTTTTATTTCATTTTTAAATTTTTTACAGAATTAAATAGTGCTATTTATATTAAGAGAGCAATATTTAAAGTATTTATAACGAGTTTTTTAAGTATTTATTTATTTCTTAAATTCCTTATCAGTTCAAATAGTATGAAATAAATTGAAAAAAAGAGAATAATACATATCTGAACTAGCTTACTGGTGAAGTAAGTCATATAGATCGACAGAAAATGAGCTAACTTGGTCTTTAGATTGGAGGGAATATGAAAGCTATAATGAAATAGACATATTTTTGTCTTTTTCATCGATTTACTTTTCATAGTGGACCGTAAATTCCACTCAAGTTCTATAATTTTGGTAACAATAATAAAAAGTTTGTTAATTCACGATGGGACCCAAACTGCCTTACACATTATTGGCTCCGTTTAATTTCCTAAAGCAAAAAATTCGTTACTTTGATCATGTTTGATACGGTAAGAATATAATTTAATTAATTTTTGTGTTTGATATATATATGTAAAAGAAATTTTAAGATAAAATATTCACATATATATATTATGAGTACATAAAAAACTAATATTTTAAAAATTATTTTAACAAATTGTGATCAAAGAAAATATTGTTTGCCTATTTTAATAGTAACAGATATAGATTGAAATAAAAAAAAAAACAAAGAATCATTTTGCATTATAGATTATATTCTGATAATTAAGTCGGTTTAGCCATAGATTCCTCCTTCCTCTGTCGTTTACTTGCCATCAGAGATATGCACAGGTTAGTGCCACTTATCGTGTATCGAGAGAAATAAACTTTTATTTTAACGGAGAAATTTTGCAAATAGTCATTAAAATTAATTTTATTAGGCACCATAGTTATAGTTTGCTAATTACGATTCGTATCTACATGTTAGAGGGAGAAGAGAGGCGAACGAGATTGAAGAGGGAAGAGAGAGTCGAGCGAGAGAGGGCAAAGAGTGGAGAGAGGTGAATTATATTTGCATATCTGTCGAATTTTATATGTATATATGTCAGATAATTGTATATATGTAACTGGTATACGTATAGGTATTTGAATATTGGTGAGCACGAATTGGGAGGAGGAGAGAGGCGAGCGAGAGAGAGCAGAGAGTGGAGAGAGACGAATTGTATTCGTATATCTGTCATATAATTGTATATGTATATGTATAATTTGTATTTGTATGTATAAGAGAGGAAAAAGGCGAAAGAGGTGTATGTAATTATAACTAAAAACAGGCGGCAAGTAATAATTAACTCAAATTATAACTATATTAGTTAATTAACTAGTATATATTTATTTATCTGCATAATTTTCCATATTTTAATCACATGGTTTATCTATTGTTTTTACCTTATATAATTCTTATTGTCAAGTAACTCTTTAAAAATAGCACTACAAAATTAGTTTATTTTTTAATTTTTATTTCTAATCCGGTGTTTGTAGTCCACATTGAACTCCGACTAAATTTGGATCGCGCTCTGTAGAGCCCATTTGAGGGTGGCGCTCTTAACAGAATTTCTTAACAGAATTTTCTCCGTACAAGTATTAGTTAAAGTAATACAATTACGGAAAATATAATTGGCAAGACAGATTTTTGGCACGAAATGACACGAGCAACAAAAATCAGGTATTTTCGTAATTTTGGTGAAAAGTTAAGGGCGTTTGGGTAAATTCATTTATTTCGTGTACCTAAATTATCCTCAAAAGTAAAACTACTTTTAATACTTTTAAAACCACAACTGTTTAAAACTTAAATCACTTCTAAAAAATCCAAGTTGTAATTATTATTTATTTCACACTGCCCAAGAAATTTTTATTTAATTTCATACTTTATTGAGCTTTTTTGTTTTTTTTGGGTAAGGTTTACTTCTATTTCTACCAAGTTTGGATCTCCATACGTTGTCATTTTAAATAGTATTTTTTTGTTTCCTTTTCGTTCATAATTTTAATTTGGATTAATAAATCAACGACAAATCTGAGTTGATTAAACTACCTTTGTTCAAATATATTTGTTTTTTGTCAATTTTTTTCTTCATTCACAAGAACCCTATATTTAAATATATCAATCTTCTATATATTGTTGATCAACAAATTAAAATAAGAACGGACGAGAGTGAAGAGTGAAGTTGACAGGAGTTAAAAAGAGTAAAGTAAGAGAGAGAGTAAATAATTACTCCCTCTGTTCCAATTTATGTGACTTACTTTCCTTTTTAGTAAGTCCCAAAAAGAATGACACATTTTTATATTTACTAACAATTTAACTATAAAATGTCTATTTTACCCTTAATGAAATGATTTACAGCCACACAAATTTCTATAATTCATTTTGGACCACAAGTTTTAAACATCTTCTTTTCTTTCTTAAATTCCGTGTCGAGTCAAACTACATCACATAAAATGGGACGGAGGGAGTATTAAAATGTCAAAGGTGATTTTCTTTTTTGGAGGGAAATACATGCGGTTTTGAAGCCAAAGGAACATTTTCGTCATTTACCCATGTCTTGGCAATTCGTTCCAAAATTTTGTCTTGCCAATTAGCAGTACTCAATCAATTATATATGAAAAAACTATAGGGAGAAAATGAGGGACTGGATAGCAACATTTTATTAGTATATTTTGTACTTTTACGATAAAAGATTTAAAGTAGTACGATGAGACAACATTGTTGGTTACTTTTTATGTCAAGAAATGTATTATTCAGAATATCAACTTTCTTTACATGATGCTTCTTTCTTTCCACGCGCTTTAAGGAAGATGATAATTTTTTCTATCTTAATTTATATGATATATTTTATTTTATTTTAAAAAGAAAAAATTTAATAATAAAAAACTTAACTTCAAAATTTATATATTACCTTAATAAAATGATTAATATCTGCGAAAATTTGGATTTTTTGGGATGATGGTTGGAGGGGTGAAGTGGTGAGTGATAGTATACAACAAATAAGTTTGAAGTTGACCAAGAACAATGTGGAGATGATTTGTACTGCAGTGTATGCTAGGTGTGATGCATTAGAAAGATTGGAGTTGTGGGAAGAACTGGAGGCTTTATCTGCTTATATTAATATACCTTGGATGGTGGGAGGAGATTTCAATGTTATTTTGAATGAGGAGGAAAAACTTGGGGGATTAGACTTTACTCAGTTTGAGGCTTTGGATTTCAGTCAATGCATTAATAATTGTGCTCTAACAGAACTTAAGTTTGTGGGTAGCATGTTTACTTGGTGGAATGGTAGAATTGAAAGAGACAGTATTTTTAAGAGACTTGACAGAGTCTTTGGAAATCAGGAGTTTAACAATATGTTACCTACTAGTGAAGTTCATCATTTAGTGAGACAAGGTTCGGATCATGCACCTTTACATGTCATATGCAATTCGGAGGAAGAAGTGACAAGCAGACCTTTTAAGTTTCTCAATTTCTGGACAAGGCATCCCCAATTTCAGCAGATTATTGAGGATAACTGGAGAATTGATTTTGTGGGCTGCCCGTTTATTGAATTTCAGGCGAAAATGAAAAAGTGAAAGGGGCGCTGGCAAAATGGAGCAAGGTTACTTTTGGAAACATATTCTAGAAGGTTGCAACCTTGGAGGATGAAGTCAAGGTCAAGGAGATACAATTGGAGATTTATACAAATGAAGAAAATAGGGCAGATTTGAAAAGGTCAGAAGCTAAGTTTAAAAAATTTCTCTACTTGGAAGAGGAATTTTGGAAACAGAAAGCTGGGATGAGATGGTTTCAGGATGGGGACAAGAATACTAGATTTTTTCATAATTATGTCAAAGGAAGAAGAAAAAAACTGCACCTGGCGGAAATTCAAACGGAACAAGGTGATGTAGTGAATAGCAGCGATGAGATTGGCACAGCAGCAATCTCTTATTTTGAAGGGCAGTTCAGAGAAGGAGGAACAAGTGAAGATGAAAATTTGTTGAGGCTTATTCCCAAATTGATTACCCCTAGTCAGAATGAGGAAATGGTTCATATGCCAACTAAGGAGGAGGTCAAGATAGTAGTCTTCGCTTTGAACGAAGATAGTACAAGCGGTCCAGATGGTTTCTCGGGATTATTCTTCCAATATTGTTGGGAACTTATAGGTGAGGATATTACCAAAATGGTGAAGGCATTTTTTTGTGGTAAGCAGATTTCTCGTTTTATTTCTCACACGAATTTGGTGTTACTCCCAAAAAAGGAGAGAGTTGTAAACTTCACAGATCTTAGACCAGTGAATTTAAGTACGTTTGCAAATAAAATCATCTCTCGAGTGTTGCATGAAAGGATTTCGAAAAGGTTACCCAATATTATTTCAAGGAACCAGTCAGGTTTTATTAAAGGGAGAAACATTACAGAAAATGTTCTATTAGCTCAAGAGATAATAAGGGATATAAATAGGAGGAAGAAATATCACAATGTGGTAGTAAAGTTGGACATGGCA